TTTTTCCTTTTTTTTGACTGAGGCTGTTAATTCCTGGAGATATTCCATCATAACATATACGTATACATAGATTCCTCATTTCTTTAAACCTCTTTGGAATGTAGACAAGAGCTCACGGATGTTATATAGACCCTACCAGAGAGCAGAGCACGCCCAGGCATCCGAATTTCGCGACGTTAATGAGGAGCAAGCACCCAAGCCCTGAAGCCTCACCGAAAACCCCTCCGGAAAAGCAAGAGCCAGAAGATGGAGACGTTTTCCCGCGGCATCCGAATTTATCGGTGCTTATGGGGACCATTTTTTCGGAGGAGGTGTTGGTTTGGAAAGACGTGAGAAGGTGAAATCTGACAATATCTTCAATTTTTTTGCCTTGTTTGGCTATTTCTCCACCCAAACGATGGTGTTGGGAGCAGCAGTGTGGAAATAAAATGGATCTACAGCTTGCCCACACACAGGCGTGCAGGGGTTATGGTCATTCTACGCACAGAGACGGAGAGAGAGAAAAAGTGCTTGCATTTTTCATCAGGCTTTTTTTTTTGGCTTTTTTTTTTGCTTTTTCCTGAGGTCCCAAATATCGACTGCCGAGGCCCCAGGAAGCTGTTTGCGAGCGCGACGCTCCCAAGGTAGGGCTCAGGCTCTGCCAGGGGGGCTAAGGGAACAAGCCCCCGCATGCAGAACAGCCGGGACGCGGGGGGGGGGGGGTTAACCCAATTTTCACGGAGGGTTTGAGTTCTAGCACGTCCCGTAAGTCAGCACGCAATTAAAAAGCGGAAAGAAAAACTAAACAAAACAAAAGGAAAAAAAAAAAAAAGAAACAAAAACAAATCTGCAAATTTCCAGTGTATAAACAGCACACAGCCCTCTCTGGGATGGTCTCTAGATTGGGAATAAAAAATAAAAGGAAAATAGAAAATGATGAACCTGGTGTCCCTAGCACTGTACCGGCCTTTTGCTGCGGGGCTGCGAGCCGGGGTGGCAAACGGCCAGGAGAAATGATGGAGAAGCTCCAGCCAGGGGCTGCTTCCCAAAAAACCAGAGCTGCTCTCCACAACTGTCCCTTTCCAACCTTCAGATCATCTTCCCAAAATCCGTGAGAACATGCAGGTTCAGCTTGGAAACCTGGAAAAAATAAGCGCGGCGCAGGGAAGACGAGGGATTTAGCCCGACAGAAGGATGGGGTTGGTACCCAGAGCTGCGGTTCCTTCCGTCGGAGGGAAATTTTATCCCTGTTTTCTGCTTGAAAAAGGCACTTCAGCTGCAGAGAGCATCCGAGCAAAGCAGGAGACGTGTCCTGGGGCACGGCGGGGTGCCGAGGGTAGGAGACGGGGCGCCCGGCCTCCTGGCAGCCCCCTTTCTCAGGGTGTAAGGGGGATTTTTCAAAGCACAGCAAGAAACGGCCCGTGAAGGGTAAGCCAAGGGCACTTCGCAGCCGCATGCAAGACTGCAACCCTGAACAGAATCACAGAATGGTGGGGGCTTGGAAGGGCCTCCTGGGGTCGGGTCACCCAGTCCAACCCCCTGCCCAAGCAGGGTCACCCAGAGCAGGCTGCACAGCACCGCGTCCAGGCGGGGCTGGAATATCTCCAGAGAAGGAGACTCCACCACCTCCCTGGGCAGCCTGGGCCAGGGCTCCGTCACCCTCAGAGGGAAGAAGTTCTTCCTCAACACCCTTAAAAACCACTCATCTGCTGAAAATCCTACCCAGACAGCATGCCCTGCTGGGATGCTCTTGGGTTACCCCTCCCCTGCACATTTCTGGGGGGACTTCGTCCACGATATCTAGGTTTTCCTTCCCTCTTTCCAGCGCGGCTGAGCTGCTTTCTCCCATCTGCCCTGCCTGCCCCGAGGGGACAAGCTGAAGTTGAACCTCCCAGTGGGCAGCGTCCCTCTCCTCCTTTGGTGCATGCTCCTTCCACCTTCTGCCCATCCCCTTTTCCTTCCTTTCCGTCCACCCCACCCTTTTCTTTCCGTCCGCTCAGCGGGACAACGCGCAGCCCCAGCCCCACGAGCTAACGGCATAGCTAACAACCTCCCTTACCTAAACCACCACCTGCTTCCACCCCTCCCTTGGCTGGAGCTCCCTCTTGGCCCACTCCTTTCCCCTCCACCATCACCTTTTTTCAAGCCCACAGCAGTTTTGGGGCTGACTCGCCCCCAAATGACCAATGGTGACGCAGAGGTGCTGGGTGCCCCCAGCTCCAGAGGAAGCCAGAGGAGAGCTCAGCACCTCCGAGCATCACCTTGCCCTGAGCTCGAGCTCCTTGACCAACGCTGCCCATGTGCAGGGGGGGTCACGTGCCCGAATCTTTCGGCTCTTCGCACGCAGAGCCCCATCCTGCCGACCCCAGACATCAGCCTGGATCAGCCCGGAAAGCCTCTCCCCACCTCGCCCCCCGCCACTCTCACAGTGCCTCTGCGACGAACGCAACCGCCTAAACCACGCAGACGGACAGACAAACACCACAAAAAGAAGGTACTTTTGGTTCAAACACCTAATACTGTCTTTAAAAACGAAAAGCCCAGCGGGTCTGAGGGGTGGAAGACCCCGTTTCAGCACGGATCCAGCTTCGGGGTCGTGTCTGGCGATGGAAACGCTCACGGCCCGATCCTCTACCTCACACCGAGCCCAGCGTCAGCCTCCACCTGCTCGGAGCATCCCGGGGAAGCGCTCGGCGCAGCAGGATTTACCCCTCCGAAACGCAAGGCAAAAGGTTGGGAAGGGCAGAAGGAGCAGCTCCCCTCGGGACTGATCCCGCGACCGTCTCGGCCAAGCGCAGGAGACCTCGCGTCTGCCCCGGCGACACCGGTCAGACGCTTCGTGTTACTCACAGGCTTACGACGAGGAGTAAAGAACCCGTTTGCAAGGACCATTTCCTTTCTGCGTGCCCAGCCTGGTTAAGACGTACAGCAATAAAGACAGAGCTGGTCGAAAAGGGAAGGAAAAAACATTTCCCTTTGGTTTTTCAAATTTTTCCTGACTTTTTTTTTTTCCCCCCGATCAACTTTTGTATTTTCCATTTCCCTCCATACGCAGGAATTTCTCCTCTTTCCCCTCCAAAACAAAAAAAAAAAAACAAAACACCCAACCGAATTTTCTGAAAGCACCAAAGCGTTCCTTGAGCAAAAAAGTGATTTCGAAAACGCAGAAAAGTCATTTTCCCTGTAAATCTCAATCAGTTTTGTGCGCAAAGCGCAGCCGTACAAAAACGTTGTTAAAAAAAAACCACCAAAAAAGCAGAAATTTCTACCAGCTTTACCAGCAAAGCGCATGGGACTGGAAGCAAGAGCGGCACGCCCAGCCAGTTTTGCACCAAAATTTAAAAAAAAAAAATTTTAACAAATTAAAAAAAAAAAAAAAAAAAAGTCTTGATCCCTCCTAGCAAAAATTCTGTCTGTTGTAGAAAAGCAGACAACCGACAGCAAGGCGATGTAACAAGAACGACAAACAGTTCTTCATTTTTTTTCCTATATTGCCCCTCCCCGAAGCAGGAATATTCACCCACTTTGGTTTTCCCTCCCCGACTCCAAAAAAGAGTTTAAAATTCTCCAATGCTCGGGAATCCAGTCGTTTCCTGAACCCTCAGTTTGTTGTGCGAAGAACACAAAAACCGAAGGGATTCACTTGATAATATTTTTTTCTAAACAACAAGGGATGGGGAGGGGTGTTTTTTTTGTTTGTTTTTTTTTGTAAGTGAGCTACATTGTTCTGGCTTTCTTAAAACTCAGAGTTTCACCCCAAAAAAGCCCGTCTTGGAGCTTTCTGGGAAGAAAAAGAAAAGCTCATCCTTTCTCCGAAGCAAACTTTTTAGATTTCGGCCAAAAGTTTGCCTCTTCCACCACCCTCTCTCCCAACATCCTCAAAGCATCAACATCTGAGTTGCTCTTTCAAAAAAAAAAAAAAACCCAAAAAACGAACAACAAAAATAACAGTAAAAATAAAAAAAGAACCAACAGAAAAAGTCCCATCGACTCTCCGAACTGACACGGGGGTGATTCTCCTCCCCGGCCGGCCGTCTTCACTCATCGGCGTCCGGCTTGACGTCCAGCATGGCGTGGAGCTCCTCGGGCGTGTAGCCCAACAGGCTCTGCAGGTCGCAGACGAAACGGTAGACGTAGCGTTTCCCGGCCGTCTTGTGGATGATGTTCTTGTCGTAGTAGTAGCGCAAGCCGCGGCTCAGCTTCTCGTAGTTCATCTTGGGTTTGTTTTTCCTCTTGCCCCATCGCCTGGCCACCTGGGAGAGGAGGGGGAGGAGAGTCAAGGCGGGGTGCACGTCGTAGGGACGGGGAGGGAAAAAAATAATCAGGCTGGCTTGGTTGGTCGTGTCAGACACGAGGGAAGGGAGAAGACTTTCCTCAAGATGGGTACAGATGGGTCACAAGGATGAAAGTTTGGGAAAACCAACCTCCATGCAACAGCAGAACACTGCAGAGGACTCTATCAGGATGCAGAAGTCAGGGAAGGGAATGAAAATCCCATCTGTTCCCCAAAATCAGTGGGAAGCCCCCGTCTCACCTGCGTAAATCCTATTTGAAGAGCTTTGGCCCTACAGAATCACAGCATGGTCGGGGTTGGAAGGGACCTCTGTGGGTCACCCAGTCCAACCCCCTGCCCAAGCAGGGTCACCTACAGCAGGCTGCACAGGACCGTGTCCAGGCGGGTCTGGAATAT